ACCTCTGCAGAAATATCTTAAATGATGGAATTTAAGTGGTTTTTCAATGGTAAAAGATATGTTTTTTAGCGCCAAAACACTGGAGAAACATATCTAAATCAAGTACTTATTGCTGGAATTTTTTTTAATTTTTTGGGTGGACACCCTGAATTACATGGTTACATAAGTCAGGTCAGGTTTTCCTGCTACTGGTAACATGTAACCCAGTACAACCTGCTCCATGTCCTGCTGCCTTGTAGGATACGCTTTTTTAGGCAAAGGCTAGGAGAAGTTAACTCCGAATTAAAACACCCCCTGCCTTGGGGCTCTTGGTTGAGTAAAGGCTAGAGATGGTGTCTCGATAAAAATACTCATCTTGGGCAGATGTTACATGCATCCAGCTGCTGTCTTGTAGAAGGCCTCCTAGGCAAAGACTTAAGGGGTAAACAGATTCTATCTGTTGACCAGCCTCGCACCCCTTCCTCATCTATTAGGCTGGCGCAGATGTATTTTTAATACATTGTTTCCAGTTTAGGATGTTGAACGCTGGATCTTCTTGACTCAATGCGTGGGTATTCCTTGTGTCTCTATTTTTATGACTGGGCAACTCATTCTATTATCTCCTAATGAGGGTACAGCTCTAAAACTCAGTTTTATGGTTCTGAGGCCGGCTGGTAGTCAGGTTTCCCGAACTCTGTGGTAGCTCTCAGAGAGGCTGATTCCATCAACAGCCGAAAAATATCAGAGTACTAACAGTGCCATGTTGCGCATGGATGGTGTCCCTGTTTGTACTTTTGGTGTGCATTGCAGAGGCCACATTTGGAGCCCTTTGCTACGGCTTAGGGTTTATTAATAGTAATGAGGCTATTGCTTAGTTGTTAAATAGTTTACTGAGTACTATCTATACTTGAGTCAAGTTCTTTATAAATTTAAAATGACTAAAGTACCTAAAACTAATAAACACAAAAAACCATCGTCATCACCAAGTTCTCTAAACCTATCATTTACTAATATTCGTGGTCTTCGAAGTAACTTTTTTTCTGTTGAGTCTTATCTCTTGCAAAGTTCACCAGACCTACTTGCTCTTTGTGAGACTAATTTGAGTTCGGCTGTCCCATCTTGTGATCTTAGTGTTGATGGTTGTCTTCCTTTAATTCGTAAAGACTCCAATAATCACATGCTTGGCCTGGGCATCTACATTCGTAAGAACTCACCCATTTGTCGTGAAACTAGGTTTGAATCTACAGACTATTCATTTATGTGCTTTCGTTTAGCACAACTTCACTCTATCGCCTTTCTCTTTGTTCTATATCGTTCTCCTTCATCCCAAGATTGCACTATTCTTGATGTTATTTCTGATCAAATTGACCAAGCCCTCTCTCTTTATCCATCGGCCAATATCGTCGTTGTTGGTGACTTTAATGCCCATCACACCGATTGGCTTGGCTCTAGTGTCAGTGACTCTGCTGGCGTTAAGGCCCTCAACTTTTGCCTTTCTCAATCTCTAACTCAAATAGTCAACTTTCCAACTCGTTTTCCAGACAACCCTAATCATTTACCTTCTCTACTCGACTTATGTCTTGTTTTGGATCCTAGTCAGTGCTCAATTTCTCCACATTCACCCTTAGGTACTTCTGATCACGGTTTGATCTCTCTAAAACTATTATCAAATTCTTCTACTTCATCAGAATCCCCCTATCATCGTACCACATACAACTACCATAAAGCTGACTGGGAGTCTTTCCGTGATTTTCTTCGTGATGGCCCTTGGGTAGAAATCTTTCGTCTTCCTGCTGACAAATGTGCTTCTTACATAACTTCGTGGATTCAGGCTGGCATGGAATCTTTTATTCCCTCTCGACGATTCCAGGTCAAGCCTCACTTTTCTCCTTGGTTTTCCTCACATTGCGCTGCAGCAATTTCTAATCGAAACCGTTACTTCCATATCTATCAGCAAAACAATTCTCCAGAAAACAGACATCTGTTCACTATCGCCAGAAACCATTGTAAAAAGGTTTTGTCTGACGCCAAAGCTCGCTATTCCCAAGTCATTAAATCTCGTATCTCATCACAAAAATTAGGCTCTCGAGACTTTTTTCAGAATCTTTAACAGTATCAATAATAAGGGCAAATCTGTTATTCCTTCTCTCTTGTATGGTTCAGACTTTGTCACCTCACCTAAAGACAAAGCTGAATTGTTTGCTAAGAACTTTTCATCAATATCATCTCTTGATTCCACTAGTTGTGTTTTACCTGACATAGCCGTCAAACAGGTTGATCCCTTGCTTGACATTCGCATCACTTCAGCTTCTGTATCTAAAGTAATTTCCTGCTTAGACTCTTCAACAGCTTGTGGTCCTGACAACATTCCTGTTGTAGTCTTGCAGAGGTGTTCTCCGGAGCTTTCATCCATACTTTCTAAACTATTTAACAAGTGCTTATCAGAGTCTTGTTTTCCATCATGCTGGAAAGCAGCATCTGTTATCCCTATTTTCAAAAATTCCGGAGAGCGATCTGATTCATCTAACTACCGCCCCATTAGTCTTCTTCCTGTCATAAGCAAGGTTTTTGAATCTTTAATCAACAAACACTTAATCTCTCATCTTGAATCAAATAACTTACTTTCTGATCATCAATATGGATTTCGGTCTTCTCGTTCTACAGCTGATGTGCTAACAGTAATAACCGATAGGTTTTACCGTGCATTAGATAGAGGTGGAGAGGTTAAGGCTATCGCACTTGACATTTCTAAAGCTTTTGATAAAGTTTGGCATGCTGGTCTTCTCCATAAGCTTTCTTCTTATGGTGTAGCTGGTAACGTCTTTAAGATTATTGAGTCCTTTCTTTCTAATCGTAGTATAAAAGTTGTCCTCGATGGACAACACTCTTCTTCACATCTTGTAACTTCAGGGGTTCCTCAAGGTTCAATCTTTGGCCCTATACTCTTTTTAATTTACATTAACAATCTTCCAGATATTCTCACATCTAAGGTGGCATTATTCGCTGACGACACTACCATTTACTCTTGTCATGATAAGAAGCCTACACTCTCAGATTGCTTGGAGGGGGTATCTGAGCTTGAAAAGGATCTCACTTCTGCTACAGCATGGGGCTCACAGTGGCTGGTGAACTTTAATTCAGATAAAACTCAATTTTATTCGGCCAATCGTTATCGTAATAATTTAGATCTTCCTATATTTATGAATGGTAATGTACTAGATGAGTCATCTACCATTCATCTTCTAGGATTAACTCTTACTTCTGATCTTTCTTTTAAACCGTATATCAAATCCATTGCAAAATTAGCATCTGCTAAGGTTGCATCTCTTTATCGAGCTCAACACTTTCTTACTCCAGATTCTATTCTCTATCTCTATAAATCTCAAATCCGTCCCTGTATGGAATACTGTTGCCACATCTGGGGCGGATCTTCCAATGATGCTCTTTCTCTTTTAGACAAGGTGCAAAAACGAATTGTAAACATAGTTGGACCTGCTCTGGCAGCCAATCTCCAACCTTTGTCACATCGTCGTAATGTTGCTTCTCTTTCTCTTTTCTACAAATACTATAATGGGCACTGCTCTAAAGAGCTAGCGTCCCTTGTGCCATCTACTAAAATTCATTCTCGTGTTACTCGCCATTCAATTAAGTCTCATCCTTTTTCTGTTACTGTTCCTAAGTGCTTCAAAAACTCTTATTCTTCTAGTTTTTTTCCTCGAACATCAGTTCTTTGGAATTCGCTTCCTTCATCTTGCTTTCCTGATTCATATAATTTGCAATCTTTTAAGTCATCAGTCAATCGTTATCTTGCTCTACAGATTTAGTCTTTTCTCTTCCAGTAACTTCTAACTCTTATAGTGGTTGCTTGCAGCCTTGTTGGAAGTGAAGATGTAAAAAAAAAAAAAAAAAAAAAAAAAAAAGATTTTAAATTTTGTATTTAAAAATAATATTTTTCAATTTTTTAACAAATGTTTTAAGGGTTGCAAGGTTGAAAACTATTCAAACCCTGCAACCTTTTTTTTTTTTTTTTTGCAAATTATTTTAACAGTTGATTTAATTTCTGTATTTTTGTAATGTTGAGTGCAACATCATTTCTGTATTTTATAATGTTGAAAGATTTAGGTTATCAGCATTTAATTTAGGTTTTACATAAGCAAAAATATACTTTTTATCTTATCTACATAAGCAAAAATATACTTTTTATCTGGTTATTTCTATTGAGTATTTTGTGAAGTTTAGGACTAAACAGAAATTGACATTACTTTATTGTTTCTTTGGTCTGTAAAGATGAGTTGTACCAAATTATGTTCTGTTTGTGTTTTTTTAATAGATCTGTTTTTTTTGTTTAAACATAATTCAATTTTTTCTTTAAATAAAATTCAATATTTTTTTGTTTAAACATAATTCAAATTTGCATAAAACTTGCTAAGCATTGATGCATAAAGCCTGATGAGTTGTGATAAGGCGAAATGGATTTATGAAAATTATTTTTAATTAGAGAATTTATTAAATTTTATAAAATTAAAATAATTTACAGGTTGATCAAATATATTTATTATTTTTTCTACACAAACAAAACTCTTTGTAATATAATTTGTTCTTTAATATTGTTTCTTAGATTTTTTTTTTTTTAGTTTTTTTTTTTTTTTTTGTTCTACTTTGAAAAATAAAACAGATAAGAAACTTCAAAGTGTTAAAAATGTGTTTAAACGAAGGTATGTTTTTAAAAAAACATGTTTAAATTCTGCATGAAAAACTTGAAAATTTTTTAAAAGTTATAGTGTTCAGGAATTTCTAAATTGAATAAAAAATGATTTTATTTGTGATAGTATTATTCTTTGTTTATTTTTTTTTTAGTTTCATTAAAATAAATTTGGAAATGTTAATCAACATATTACTTTTTACAGATATAGTTGTTTAGTTCATGAGTAAAAGAAATTTAAATCAAAAATTTTATCAATAATTGATGTTGTATTAATTTAATGTTTTTGTAAAAATAGTACTGTTTATTTTTACTTTAGATTTTGATGAATGTACAATTTTGCATGTGTGTAAGGGGAGCAATGAAGTGTGTCAAAATACTAATGGTAGCTATAACTGCTTATGTATTGATGGTTGGATCATGGACCTGCTACCACCTCATATTGCAAGTGCTGAACATAATACTACCTGTCGGTGTATGTTTTTATTTACTTTACTAAAAATAATTTTGTTAAAATTTTAAAACTTTAATTTTAACACTTTTTTTTTGGTAAACTTTTTTTTTGAACTAATTCAATTCTAACAAGGCTGCAAGTAAACACTGGGACTGGGAACACAACTTTGAATACGAAAAATGCATACTTTTAGCCGAACCATATTAAAATTTAGTAAAAATAGACAGACTTATAAAGATGATAAATGTACGAGTCAGGAAAATATAAAGACGGGAGAGAGTTTTATCGTATTGATGTACAAGGATAAAACGTTTTTAGAGCATGAAGGGACAGATGCAGTAAATGAATCTAATTCTACTGAATTGCAGACAAGCGCAAATCTGTTTTGAGTAATGGAACTAGTTATGACAGGTTGTTTGAGCAACAATGATAAATAATTTTTTGAAAAGAATAACAGATGCAACCTTAAAAAACTTAGCAGATCAGGCCCACTACGATATTGTATTTGCGATCTTGTAGTCCCTGGGATTAATCTTATAAAACTTTTTACTTTCAGACTGCAATGTCTAAAAAAATGTATAAAATGAATCTAAAAAGTTCTGCTTGTGTATTTACTTATATTCATGAAAACTTTAGTAATTAAATTATATCAAATATATTCTAAATAAAGTTACATCAAATTTATTTACATCAAGTTAAATCAAATTACAAACTACATCAACGTTATTTACATCAAGTTACATTAAATTACAAACTACATCAACGTTATTTACATCAAGTTACATCAAATTACAAACTACATCAACGTTATTACATCATTTTACATCAAATTACAAACTACATCAACGTTATTTACATCAAGTTACGTCAAATTACAAATTACATCAAGGTTATTTACATCAAGTTACATCAAATTACAAACAACATCAACGTTATTTATAAATAGTAATAAGTACTAATATGAAGTACACACCTGTAAAAATCAATAATATTAAAATGATGATAATAATAGTTTCAATACAAGTAGGAGTAAATAAAAGTAATAGTTGTATTAACAGCATTAACAAAACTAATACTAAATATTATAAAAAGTAAACACATTTATTATATTAATAATAATAACAATAATAACAGTAAAAATTACAATAACAATAATAATAATAATAATAACTATAATAACAAAAATAATACAACAAAAACATTTTTATAAAAAAAGTTATAACAATATTGATAGCAGTACGAATAGTAATATTTTTAATGATAAAAGTATAGAAATAAAAACAATAACAATAATAGTGATTAAAAGAAAATACTTTAATTTAAGAAAGAATAAAATAATAAATAATTTATCAATATTTTTTTTTTAACTTAAACTATTTTTTTAGAAAAAAATTGTTTATAAATCTATAGTCTTCTTCAACTTATTATTTATAATCCTAATTCTGAGTTTCTATTTATCTGATTTTTTTTTCTCTTTTCTTTTATGTTTAATATTTTTTGTAAACTTTATTAAATTAGTTCAATTTATAATTATTAATTTGAAGAAAAGTATAAGATTTATAAGCAATATTTTTCTTAAAAACAGTTAAAAAAGCAGTTTTAAATTTTGAAAATGAGTTAAATTTCTTAAATGACGAATGCAGTGAAAATTACTAATGAAATCGCTTGAAATTAAAATTTATAAAAATTTGCGCACTTCATTAAAACAAATGAATCTGTAACAAACTTTCAACTCAAAGAAAGTACTTTAAAAAGTCCTGAACCCCAAAGGTTTTTAAAACTAAATATCTTTGGATCTTCAAAAAAAATTTCCGTCGGTCGCTCCTCTGGAACATTTTTCAACTGTAAAAGTTTTATGCTGCAGAAAGTTTGTTACCTGTAGATTTTAAAAATATTTTATAACATTGAAAAAAATAAAAATAAGATAAAAAGTTTTAAAACATTGACCCCAGGTGACAAATGTAAGCCAAATATTAACTCAATTAGTTAAGGTAAAAAGAATAATTTAATGAAAGCAAAATAAAGAAGAGTAAGTACTTTAATAATTTAAGTTTACTTTCTCCTTTTGGTATTGAAATTTTCTTTTCATTACACTGCACTTTGTTCAAAAACCTTGTATAAGTATATTTTTGCATATACCTTGCAAAATATTTTTATTAACTTTTCTTAAACAAGAACAAAGTCACTGTTTTCACAGTTGATCTTCGTTTCTTTTCATATTGACTTTTGCGCTTTTATTTTGCTCTTTTTGATTCAAGTTTCGGATTATCAGAATAAAATCCAGCATTAGAACTTTTATTTGTTTGTTTAAGTGTAAAATATGGTTTGTCATCAATGAAAAACTTACCTTTTCTTAATTTGCGACATATTCTTCCACACTTCAGTTTAAACTGCTTTCACTACCTATCAGTACGATCAGGAATTTGTTATGTTTTTTAATGTTTTTACTGTGCCAGAATTATCATACATGAATTTCATTGCAATTTTTCTTTTTGAAGTTCCAGAGGTGTTTAAGAGATCATTTAGATTAATGATGTTCCTAACAGCCTTAATTTTTGGTATTCTGTTCAAAGCTTACAAGACAATAGTTAATTGATCTTTCATTTTGTTTTATATTGTTTGGTAATCCTTTCGGGGACTTGTTCAATTAAATTAGTTTGCCTCGTTTATTTTTTATTTTTTCTATTATCTAATCTAAATAAAAAAAAAATTTAATAAAAGAAAGCAGTTTAATAAGTTTGAACTTCAGTTTAAAAAATTGGAGGCGCTGATGCTAACAATCGACATATTTCTCTGGGATAACAGTAAAATCATGATAAAAATTGAGCACAAGCTAGGATCATAGACAAGACATAAATTAAAGTAAAAAGGTAATTTATTACGAAACGCGAGTGACAAAGGTATTTGAGTAAAAGAAAGAGAAAGGAAATATTATAACCTAAAAAGCTTAAGCCATAATAACTTAAAGATATTGTGATTTTTTCGGATTTGTGTTTTGAGAGCAAAGAGGATAAGAAGCTTTCTATTATAACGAAGCCACTTTGTTATAACTTTTTATGTTTTAATTAAAATCATTAAAACTGCAGTTATCGCATCCAAGTTAGCTTATTTTATTTTTTTATTTTTATTAAAAATCTGGTGTTAGGTAGATATTTTGTACAAAAACTTATTTTATTGATTTTTCACCAGAGTTGGTTTTGGTTATCACTAATATTAAATAGATTTAAGTTCAAAAAAGGTTTAATATATTTGTAAAAGGTAAATACTTGTTTAAAAAATGTTGAATTTGTTTTCAAGTTTGAATATTGCTACTGTTAGAATAGCATATGTATATACATATATATATATATATATATATATATATATATATATATATATATATATATATATATATATATATATATATATATATATATATATATATATATATATTTATATATATATATATATATATATATATATATATATATATATATATATATATATATATATATATATATATATATATATATATATATATATATATATATATATATACGTTTTAATAATTATATGTTTATTAAATTGCAAAACTTTAAATATTCGATTTTAACACTCTTTTGTGCTTCTTATTTTAGATAATTTTTTTGGTAATAACTCTACAACATGCAAAAGAAATGGAATTGCTTTAATCCCAAAACTTGATAAGGAATTTATAATCTTTTTTGATATTCTACCTTACCTGTTTAAAACTAACATTAGTATTATTCATTTTACAGACTGTTACAGTAATGATGGTTGTAACCCTATTTTGCATGTTTATATTGGTTTAAACGGTAAAATATGGGTCTTAAATAAACATGACACTTATGAAGGAGGACCAATTAATGAAACTGTTTTAACTTCCATTGAGATTAGTTATGTTTTTAATAACTCTAATAATGTTTACAAATACACAATCAAAATCAATGAAAAAATCGTCTTTTTTAAACTTATATATGATGTTCAAAGTTATAAAGATGTTAAAGTATATGCATCCTGCTTGGAAAATTTAATAAGTAATTTTAATTTAATCAATGGAATTAAAAGTAAGTTGTCATTTTTTTTAGTTTTCAATTTTTTAGATATTTAATTTTTTTTCATTAATTTGAACATAAATTTACAAATTGTAAATTTATTTTTTGTAAAAGTTTTTACCATTAGTTTTTTTTAGAAAAAGATAAATTATTAGTTAAGAAAATTGTTATTACTTACATAAAATATACAAAACTGAACATACAAATTACATAAAAGTTTAATAATACATACTATAAAAGTTTATTTATACATTATTATAAATACATTTTACAACTAAAGTAATAATATGGAAACCAATAGACTTTACTTTATTCCCAAAGTATTTTAGCCTTTTTGTGCAAATTCTTTACATATAAGACAAAGAAAGAAAGAGCAAAAAATAAAAGAGTAATAGAAGTGATGAAAGAAAAAATGAGAGAAACAATTTTATAAAATTACATTTTAAAATTTGTTATCAGAAAGATTTGCAATTTTGAATTTAAAATTTTTAATTTATATATAAAGAACTATAGATAAAGAATTAGTTCTTATTATTAAAAATAGATAAAACTTTTTTTTTTTTAGTTAAAGTTTTTTATTAAACATGTATTACTATATTTAATTATTTTATGTTTATGAGAAAAAGATATAAAAGGAAAAGGATGAGAGAGAAAAAAGAGAAGCGAGAGAAAGGAAGAGACAGAAAAGATTGGATACTGTTTTTATATATTTGTCGTTTATTTAACTATTTTATGTTTTAAATAATTTAATAATCTCTAAAAACTTTACAGAGTTTACAGCGAGTCAGTTTAGTGCAACATATGAATTTATTATATTATAACGGTATTATAAAACAAACAAAATTTTTTTTATTAGATAATGGAATTCTACCTATTGTTATTATTCCTACAGGTATTTAAATGGTTTTTATATATTTACTTATTCATAACTGTTTTTCCAGAACTGTTACGGAATAATCCATTATTATTTCATAACTTTTAAATACATGAAACCATTAACTGATGTTTTTTTCTTTGTACAGTAAATTGATTGTTAAAAAAGTTCTTGCTTTAATTTCTTTTTTACATTTTCATTTTTTTATCGGTTGAATTTTTCAGTTATATTAACGGGGCTGAATGATAAGACCTTTTCTTCTGCTTTCTCATGTCGAAACTTTTATGTTAAATTTTTATGTTGTAAAAATAGTATAAAAGCTTTTTTTTTCTTTAATGAAAAAATATATTTAAAAAAAATAATAATAATAAAGAGTGTTAATTGTAAATATTATAAAATAAACAATTTTTGTCTAATAACTTTGGCTATTTGCGAATTCTTCTAAATAAAAATTTAAAAATCAAATACAATTTTTTTTTATTTTTTTTAAAACTGCATATAATTTATAATCATTATTGTTAAAAGTTGTAGAGTTTATCCGGTGAAAGTTGTAAGATTTTTGAATAATTTTAAAAAAATTACAAAAGTAGTTAGCATTTTAAGGAAAAAAAAAAGACTAAAAAAAAGACTAAAAAAAAAGGGAAAAAAAAAACAGAAAATGACTTTGATAGATAAAGATTGGATATGATGTTTTAAAGAATTAAGACAGTTAGGAAAAAAATTAAAATTTTAAATCAGTGGAATTTTAAATCAGTTGCACGGTGGTCTTCTCCATAAGCCTGCTTCATACGGTGTATTTGGAAAAGTCTTTGAGATTATGAAATTATTTCTTTCTAACCATTTTATCAAAATAATCCTCAAAGGCGCTAACTTTTTTTCATTTCTTGTAACTTCTGGGGTACTTTGAAATTTTTTCTTTTGTTCTTATTTGTTTCGTATCTACATAAATAATTTTCCTGGCAACCTTACATCTAAAGTAACTATTTTTTATGATGACTCAATTTTATACTCTTTTCTCGATAAAAAGTCTTCCCTTTTCAATTTATGAGAATAGGCAGCCTATCTTGACTCTGATCTCACTTCTGTAACAGAACGGAGCTTGAAGTGTCATGTGGGTTTTAAGTCATTGGACTTAAAATTCACGTTCGTGAATCGTCCAAACTAAAGCAATACTGTCAACATTTCTATATTTATAAATGTAAACTTTTTCACTAAGTCTTCATCTTTATGTCTTTTTGGATTATTGTTTACTACTGATCTTTTATGAAAATTATGTTTTTGATCGATTGTTAAATTAGCACATCCTAAGGTTGTTTGTTATTATATTGTTTGTCATTTTCTTACTCCTTATTCCATTATTTACCTCTTCAAATCGCTTATTCGCCCCTGTGTGGAAAACTGTTGTCATACTTCAGCTGTTTTTTTTAATAATGCTCTTTCTCACAAGAGCTATCCTCTTTTAGTTCCGTCAATTTTTCTCTTGCTTGAGTTGTTATTCAGAAAAAGTTTCATTCTTTTACGATTCACTGCATACTCTAAAAACTTGTCTGGTTTTTTTCCCTGTAGTTTAAAAAATTGTAAAAACTGTCTAATTGTCTGGTTTTTTTCCCTGTATTTTAACTCTTTGGAGCTCTCCTCCAATTTCATGAATTCCTGACTCATACAATCTACAACTTTATAAGTCTTCTGTAAACTGTTTCCTTGCTCCATAATTCGAATTTTTTTTTTCAAGTTAATCTATATAAAAATAAAAATGCTCTACTTTGGTTAACTTTACATTTAATTTCAGAAAAAATTTGTATGTTCATTAAAAACGCTAATTTAAGACATTTAATTTTAGAACCCTATATTTATTATAAATGTTTAATTGACATCATTTAAGATAAGTAAAAATTTGTTTACTAATGATAAAAAAGCATCTAACTAGAGTGCTTCATAATAATCGAAAAAATCTTAATAAAATAGTTTCTATTTAGAAATTAATGACTTAGTTACATTATTTACTTTTACATTTTTACATCTTTATATTGTTCAATAATTGAAGTTGGTGTTGTTGATTAACCTTTATAAACTTTGTTTTTATATAATAAAAATTGAATTGTTTTCACATCCTTTAAGATGATTACAATAATATTTACAAAACGTGATGCCAAGACAAAACATAAAATTTGTTGCTAAGATAAAACTTTAACAAGGATATTTACTGTTTATTTACTGGCTGTATCAATTCAGCTCTAATTCTCCTTAAAAAAATGTAAAACTTTCATCGACTCATAGAAAAAAGTATATTTCAGAAAGTTAACATTTTTACATAAATTTTTTTCATATTTAGATGTAAATTTAGAAAAGATTTGGATTCATACTAATAGATTTATGAAAACTCAATACTCATATAACTTAATAAATGGAAAAGAAAACAATACTGAGGAAATTTTAGGTAAATTTATACTTTGTTATTTGTTTGAACATGTAGACTATTAGGGAGATAATATTATTTTGAATAATTAAAGCATTTTTTATTAACAAGACTATTCGAAAAAAAAAAGTTCAATAGTATAATATACTATGGTTAGAATTCTCCTTAACGATATATTGTTGTCTATCAAAGATATTGTTGTCTATCAAAGACGACGTTAATACTGCTAAAAAAGAATGATTCCATAGATTTAAAAATATTATATTATATATTTATTTATCATCATAAAGTTAGTTGTTTATTTTTTTTGAAACTGCATATAATTTATAATCATTATTGTTAAAAGTTGTAGAGTTTATCCGGTGAAAGTTGTAAGATTTTTGAATAATTTTAAAAAAATTACAAAAAAAAAATAATATTTTAAGGAAAAAAAAAAGACTAAAAAAAAAATGATTCCATAGATTTAAAAAATGATTCCATAGATTTAAAAATATTATATTATATATTTATTTATCATCATAAAGTTAGTTGTTACGCTCAAAATAAGATTTTAAAAGTTTTTTAAGTAAGGCTTCAGAGATTTTTCTAAATGTAATAAAGAGAGTTTTGAAAAACACTTTTGTAAGACTTTGAGAGAATTATTGTCTGTATGATAAGTTGAACAATTTTAGTAAAGGAAACAGAAATGTTTTGAATATTTAACATTGGAATAACTTGCTTAACTAAATAAATTGATTAACTTCTTTTAGATAAAGGTTTAGAATTATATCGTCAGATTTAAGGGCTATACGGAATGTTCTTTGGAACTATTTTTGAAGAGAAAAGTTATAAGGTTTGTCCCATGTTATAAAAATGGATTATGACAATTAAGTTTGTCAATGGCATTTTTAAAGACTTTCCAAATGATTTAAAAACCTGTTTTCTGAAATGATATTGTTTATTTTGTTAATTTTTGAAATAATATTATTTATATTATTACTTCAGAAATATGATACAAAATATAATACTTAGTGAGAATATAGGAAATGGGTTTTTTACAATTTCTTGCAATTTTAAAACAAGATTACTTAAAAAGGAGGTCTGAAAATCAAGCACAAATGTATATATCTTAGTAAGAGATTGAGAATGACAAAAAATTTTGACTTTTAAAACAAGTAGTTTTAGTTGTAATTAAATCAAGATATTCAGTTTGATTAACATTATTACCAGCGACAATAAATTAGTTAAGTTTATAGAAGAAAAGAATGAACCAAGAGCAAAATAATCTCACAAAGACTAAGTAATGTCTAAAATTATAAAATATAAAAATATATAAAAACAATAAACGACATAGGAAAAAAAGTATATATATGTATTTATTAGGTCATCCAATTTTGACCCTCATAAACAAATTTTATTTCACGGAGTGTCTCAAAATGTTCACAAATTTTTTATTCCGGATGAGTATTTATACTCGCGCCATTCGTTTCAAGTTTAACTTTTTCACATTTTTTGAGTTTTTATGGGCATTTTCAAATGATCGGATTCAAATATATAAACCTTTAACAATTTAATTGCATCAATACAATCAATGGAAGGTTTTTTATCCATACCGATTGTGCGCATTTTTATTATTACCGTATTTGATACCAGGTGGTATTTTTAAAACGCAAAAATCGGATAAGATTTTAAAAAAGCACAGTTTATAAAACAATCCTTCGTCGAGCTACTTAACAGTTTTTAATTGTAAATAATCAATTATTTCCATCTCAAGTAAGTTTATTATAACAACATAACATAATTATATGTTATATTTTATAATTACAGTTAAGTAAATTAGGTTACTTAAACATTAATAATGTTATAAATAACCTTTTAAATAATTTTTAAACTTCATACACATTATGAAAATATTTATAGTGTTTTAAAACAATGATTATCATTATGAAATTTAGTTTTAAAGCTAGTTATGACAACAAAAGTATCTGAGGTGCACCCCTGTCCCAAGAAGGGGTTAAAAAAAATCGAGCCGCAACAGCAAGTTCCTAGTTAACGTCACTCTGGACAGACTGGAAACAAACCACCTGCCCCTAAGGATTCACGTTATCCAACGCTACTTATTATTAAGAGAACAATTTCCAAAGAAAGCACTAAAGGATCTCATCGCTTGTCCTTTAATGTCCAAAATTTTCAAGTAAGCTTATAGCTTTAGAAATCAATAGATAAAAACGTTATTTCATGTTTTATGTCAAATATAGTAAGGACAATTTTATAAGTTATGTTTTTAATTTACCTAAGTTCTTCATAGATTAAAAAATGCATAACAAACAATGAATTTTGCAATGTCAGTTGTATCCTTTCCGGGATTTTAATTCCTTGGAGAAAAACTGGCTTTAAAGTCATCAGTGACAAAAGAATGATGTACCATGTCAAGAAATATGTAGAAAGGTACATAGTGTTGAAGAAATCCCAGAACAAAATTGGAAATGGTTATCTTAAGATAAGAAATAAATTTGAGAAGCCAATGACAGGTAGGTGATAAATATTAAATATTAACATTTTCAAAAACATTGTCAAACAGCCAATACTAAGCCAATTTATTGTTAAGTAAATAGTTTACTTTTTCTTGTTCTTACCTAATAAAATTAAATTTAAAGGATTATTTTAGGCTGGAGAAGACATTGAGCTTCTTGAAAATAGTTTAAAGACTGATAGGCTAAGACTGGTAGCAGATAAGATTGAAGATTTAACCTTCATACGGGACCAGCTAGATTGCAGAAGGATGGTGATTGGAGCGTAGGACGTTCGCTTTGTAGATGTTAGTAAAAGATCTGCATCAAGAAATAACTCTAAAACCTCTAGTATAGTTGAAAACACAATCCATGATTTATCAGGATTTTCCTCTGAAAGTGAAACGATTACCGATGAAGACCTATAATTATATCAGTTCCGAAGACAATTATAAGGTTGGTAACTCTTCGAAAAAGAAGACAGTTAAAAATATGGCTCTAAAGGTACCAAAGACATTTTTTCAAAAACTGCAAGAACTGCTGTTGGGATGGGAATATCTACTAACCAGGCAATAGCACTTATATCTTCTTTTCTTTGCAATGCCGGTGGAGATATTGAAAACGTAACATTATTCCACAGCTCTACTCACAGGATTTCTGATGAAATAATAAGAAAAGATGCTGTTCTTAGAGCAAACATAACCACTATGGTTAAGGAGAGCGTCAAACCCATCATTGTGCATTTTGATGGCAAAATTATCAAAGATTATAAGGGTAGCATAGATGAGACAAAAGACCGAATTTGTGTACTTATAAGGCATGACAATCAGTTCCATCTGTTAGATGATCCAGGGTTGGAACATGGCAGTGGTGTCGCTTAGTTCACAGCAATTCAAAATCTATTAGATTATTTTGATTTAGGGCAGTTTATCCACGGAGTTTGTTTTGATACCACTGCTTCAAACACTGGCTATTTAAAAGGAGATTGTGCAAGATTAGCTAATTTTCATGGCCGACCATTGCTCTTGTTAGCCTGCCGCCATCATGTAGGAGAGCTCCATATAAAACACTTTTGCAATGAAGTTGCAGTAAACAAATCTGTTGGACCGGAGAATGAACTATTTAAGTCTCTAAAGCAGAACTGGCATGCTATTGATGCAAACATAGAGAATATGCTGTTGAAATTTAATCACCAGAATGTTAAGGGTACCTGGTTGTAGAAGCAGGTTCTATTAGCGCTCAAAACTTGCAAGGGTCTGATAGATAAAAACAAGTTAAGAAATAATCAGGTAAGGTTAAAATTAACCTTAATATATCAGTTTAAAACACCTTATACCAAAATTATAAAAAGAAGAAATATATAAGTTTCTAATTAAATTGTTAATTCAATACGTTTAGACTTTTGAGAAGCGCAAAGATTATTGTGAACTAGCAGAGCTTGTAGTTATGTTCCTTGAAGAAGATCAGACAGTTGTGTATAAAATTCGCAAAACCGGAGCTATTTCACACGCCAGGTTTATGGCAAAGGCATTGTACTAAATGAAGTTCAACTTGCTTCTCCCTAAGATCAGACTGGTTCTTTTTCTGAGTGATGAAATTGTCAAAGAGATTAAAAGAATGGTTGACTACGTTTCTCTTTTCTGGGAATCGTGGTTTTTGACGTGCGAGTATTCTGATTCTGCAGTTTTTGAAGTAAAACTTAATTTTCTAAATATTAATATATTAGTGTCATAATTTAAGAATGATTTATTTCAAAAAAGTAACAACTAAATTATTCAAAAATAATGGCCTTAACAAATGACACTTATTACATTAGATGTTATAAGTGTCATTATTAACCTTACTTACTATATATAGTGCTATACTTACTATATATTATTTTTAACTCAAACTCTTAGGATTAACGAAACTATTGGCAGATGTGCCATTACAATGAGTATGAGCCTGCCGCAGAAGTGGTATTAAAATCATTCAAAACCACATGTGGTATTTGGATCTATAAACTGTGGGGCGGGCGCTAGCATGTTCTAATAAAGGTCACTACAAAAAATATAAAACATGGCAAAAGTTGTTTATTCAACCCAACGGGGTGGCATTAAAAATGTAGGAGCCGGTCGAATCAAAGCCAAAATCCCTTCTGATAACTGTTTTCTGTTTAAAGACCAACCACCAGTCCTTGAATCATATATTTCCCCAAATTCCTGGTTAATTTTTGATGTTTTAGGTCATACTTCTGAAAAATGTCTATGGATTAAACTCCCTCAGATTTTTTGGAAAGAATTTCCACAATACAATGGGTTTCAAAGCTTCGTAAAATCTGTCGAAGTTGTGAACGACTCATCAGAACGTGCAGTAAAACTCATTCAAGAAAATGTAGAGCGTGCAAAGAGTGAGGAAAAACTTCAGAACCTACTCCAAATAAAAAACTTTTAGAAAAAACCATTTAAAAAGACGAAGAAAGGATACAAGGAGTCAGCTATGACGCCTGCTCTCTTGCTAATAGCTATGAGTTAATAATTCAAAACTTTTCTA